CTTGTGCTTCCGGGCTGGTCGCAGTGGAACTGCTCGTTTCGCTCGCGTTGCTGACTGACGCGTCGCGGGCTGTCGCGCGCATCTCCGCCAGGCCGCGTGGACTGCGGCGCGAGGGGCGAGCAGGCAGCTCAGGTGGGAGAGACTGTGGTCTGCGCCCTGGGGCGCCCTCGGTGCCTGGCGCTGAATTGAACGACGTGGGCCATGGCGCTCTGGGCCGGTGCGATCGCGCGCCCCCCCGTCGCGGGCTTCGCCGGCGGGGGGGTGGGGGCGCTCGCGTAATCCTGCGCGAATTGCCCGGTGCCGCTGCTTCCCGTCGCGCTCCCCCGCTGTCATGTCTTGTCGACTTGGCCGCGCAGATCTGGGCGCGATCGCGTGAATGCACCTTCCTACCCAATTCGCCCCCGCCACCCACTGCCCGCCCCCGCCGCGCGGCTCGCCCCCGCTGCGCGGCGACCCCGCGCGGGCGGCCCCCCGCTGCGCGATCGCCCCTCTGCGCAGCCCCACCGCTGCGCATCTCGCCCGCGGTGCAATCGCGGATGATTTTGTTGCTGGAAGTCGCGCGCGAGGCAGATGCTGTCATCTTATTCTGGGCCCAGTCCGAGGCCCACTCCGCGGCATGCCCAGAGGCTATTTCCGGCATACATTCTTCGCGACTAAGCTTAGTTCTCAGTCTGGGGCCAAAGGCCAACGCACATCGGAACCTGCGTCTGAGACTCGGGCAGGGCTGCTTCTGGCGCTCACCCTGAAGAGTCGGGGGCTCATGCCGGGGCCCAGGGGGTCGAATTCAGATGCAATTTCTGTGGTGCAGGAAAAAAAGCTCGTCAGCTCATTCTGGGGCCCTGGAACACATCGAGGTCCATTCTGAGTCTCCAGGAAACGAAATTCCAAGGCCCATGCTGAGGCCCAGGAAGAAAAATTCGGACGCTCATGCTGAGGCTCCGGAAACAATCCGAGATTCATGTTGAGGCTCAAGAAAGGAAATGGCGAGGTTCATGCTGCGGCTGCAGAAGTCGGAAGCTCATTCTGAGACTCGGGGAAATTGTGGGGCTCATTCTGAGGTTCCGGAAGGCGAGTGTGAGCTGTGTGAAATCGGGGGAGTCCTAGGCGCTGGCCCCACGAAGTCGACATTCCGAGGTCCATTCTGAGGCTCCGGAAAAGAACTGTTGAGGCGCATTCTGAGGCTCAGGAAAAAGTCGGAGGCTCATTCTGCGGTCCGGTCAACGACATTCCGCGGTCCATTCAGAGGCCCAGGAAACAACTACCGAGGTGCATGCTGAGGCTCAAGGAACGAAATGCTCAGGAAACGGATTTCCAAGGCTCATGCTGCGGCTCAGGAAGAAACAGCCAGCCGAAAGCTCATTCTGAAGCTCCGGAAAATCAGGAGGGGAAAAACAGACAGACATAATTTATCGTCGATCCCATAGAAAATATGGGAAACTATTGGAAGTGGGGGAGAAGACAATAACCCAGAAAAAATGGGAACATGTGGGGAATCCTGCTATTTGTGTGCATTTGTTTGTGTGTCCTTGGGCCCCTTCAGAAAAGAAGCTCCGATGCCCATCCTGGGGATTCAGCGGCGACGTTCCGAGGCTCGTGCTGCGGGCCACGAACCAGACTTCGGAGGCTCCTTTTGAGGCTCATGAAGAAAGCTTCGGAGGCTCTGGCCGAGGCTCCGGGCGACAACTCCGAAACGTATTTTCGGAGCCTCCTGGGGTTAATTCGAAGGCGACTATGAGGCGTATTCCGAGGCCCACCCTGAACTCGATTCTGGCGCAAGCTTACGGTGCCCTCTCTGCAGTTCCGTGCGACACCAATTCCGAAGCTCATTGTGGAACACCTTTTGGGGCTCACGCCGAGGCCCACGCTGAGGTCAGCTCTAAGGCAAGCCGAAGGCTCCTCTTGAGACCCATTCTGGTGATTATCCCGAGGCCCGTTCTACATCGATATCCAGTGCGCATTGATGCGGCGACCCTCTTCGCCAAGCACGCTGCCGCGGCATTCCGCCCCCCCCTCCCCCTGTGTTCAGCCGCCGACGGTGCGCCGATCGTTTTGGGTTCAGGCCTGCGAGGCCTGCGCAACGTGCGAGGCCCGTTGGAATGCCTGTGGGGTCTGCGGGGCTTGTTGGACCTACCCTGCTCGTGGGGTGTTTGAGACTGTCGGGACCTGTGGGCTGGCGGGATCTTCGGGGTTGACGGGGCCGCTGCGCGGGTCCTCGGGGCCCAGGGGTCGCGCCCGCACAGTCAATTTCGCGTGTTGCCTCCTCGGAACTCACGCCGCGGGGATTGATTTGGCAGGCCCGTGGCGGCGTCGCATTGCACATTCCGAAAATTCGCGCGCTAGCGTGCGCCGTCACTTTCGTTCGTTAGCCGTGAACGTCGCCAACCATTTCGGGCTCCAGCGCGCACGATTTTCAAATCCGTAAGTGCTTCGCCCCATGCCGCCGGCCCACTGTCTCGGACGATGGGAGATGCAGAGGCTAAATCATTAGTTCTGGGCGCCGCCGTGAAGCAGTGTCGGAACCTGTTGTGCCACCGAATTTCAAATGTTGCAAATCTCTTGTGTTTGTGGTCCCTAACCCTACGGATCTGCGTGAGGGGTGCCGCCGAATTTCAGAAATGTGGCAAATCCTATTATATGTTTTTGGACCCTGACCCTGCCGATCTGCGTGATGGGTGCAGCCGAATTGAAGACATGCGGCAAATCCCCTGTGTTTTTGGACCCTGACCCTGCCGATCTGCGTGAGGGGTGCCACCGGATTTTGAAACAGTTGGCACATCCCCTGTGTTTTTTGACCCTGACCCCGCCGATCTGCGTGAGGGGTGCCAGCGAATTTTAGACATGTGGCAAATCCCGTGTGTTTTTGCACCCTGACCCCGCCGATCTGCGTGAGGGGTGCCAGCGAATTTTAGAAATGTGGCAAATCCTTTTTGTTTTTGGACCCTGACCCCGCCGATCTGCGTGAGGGGTGCCACCGGATGTCAGCAATGTGGCAAATCCCTTATGTTTTTGAACCCTGACCCCGCCGATCTGCGTGAGGGGTGTTAATTTTTATACCCACCGCAGCAATTCAGAGGGGTTGTGGGCCTCCCCCCCTCGCGCGGTCCATCAACAAGGAACAGTAAGCAGCAAAAAGCAGAACTGTAACAGTGGAAACTGGAAGCTGCAACTGGCACAGGAAACTGCGAAGCTTCGGCCTACAGCCCGGTGGCCCCATAAGGGGGCCAGCGGATTTAAGGTCCGATCAAACGGTCCGCGCGTTTGCTCGCGCGTTCTGTTTTCTCGCTTGCACAAACCTTCTCGCGCGCTCGCGCTCGCGACCCTCTAGATTTACGAGCGCGCGCAATATGACCGCAAAGGCACGCGCAAGGCTTTGCACCGTTCATCGATCGAGCGACACCGCGTGCCAAGCGACTTGAAAACCGCGCGCCTTAGCGCGCGAAAAAAACATAGGCTTCCAAGACAACCGTGCAAACATGATTGCGCGCGCAAGATCGCGAATCGTTTAAGGATGTGGCGTGGCGTGGGCCATCTGGAGCTTGTGGGAGTTGTAGGGTGTTTGCGGGGCTTGCGGGACCAGTGGGTCCAGCGCGGCCTGTGGGCCTGCCGGCCGTCTCAGCCTGTGGGGCCGTGCGGGGTGTGCGGGGCTTGTGGGACCTGTTTGGCCTGCGTGACCTCCGGGGTCTGTGGCTGCGGGGCCTGTGGGATCTGTGGGCGAGTGGGACCTGCGTGGCTTCTGGGGTCCGCAGGGCGTCCATGATCCCTCCCCTGCCTGTGGAGCCTACGGGGCCTGTGGAAGCAGCGGGGCCTGTGTGGCCTGTAGGGCATCTGCCACCTGCGTGGCTTGCGGGTCTTGTGGGCTTGTGGTCTGTAGGATTCGCGGGGGTTTGGGGCCAGCCTGACTTGTGGCCCGCGAGGCCCAGGGCCCGCGAGCCCCCATTCGACCTGCGGTGCCCGCGGGGCCTCCGGAGCCTGGGCCCATTGAAGGTGGCCAAAAATTTGTCGGCTGACGCCGAGACAGGGGGAGGGGGCTGGCGAAGTCTAGGAAACGCCCAGCTGGCGCCGACGCAGAGGGCTTCGCGGTCGGCTCGCGCTCCGCAGGAAAGGGGGGCAGCGGGGTGCATTTCTCGAAAACAAAATCGTTCGGCAGGCGCCCAGACGAGGAGCCTGCAAAGTTAGAGGAATTTCCAAGATGTACTCGGCTGGAGCCTCGTCAAAGAAGATTCGATGGGGGGACTTTGCGGTGGGGGACTGGGCTGGATAGAGGATCAGGTTTGGGCCGGCCTCGAGTAGGCGTAGCTTGCCCGAGGGGTCAGGGCAGGCCTTGTGCACACTTGTGTTTGGAATAAGTTACCAGCCTCGAGCAGATCCCTATCCCTAAGATAGACACGCCAAAAGGCGATGACAATCTTAGGGATTCGCCCTCAAAACACAAGGGAATCCCTAAGATTGGCATCGTGATGAGGAGGTGCCCAGCAGAGGGATAGGGATATGTTCCAGGCTGGTGAATAAGTGTTGCTGTAGCTTATTCTGAACATATTTGCGTCGGTTCTGGGCTCGCTCCTGGGGGGGCGTCGGATCGGCTGCGCGCCCTCTATAATTCACACGTTTTTTCTCAGGCACCGGTCTACAATTCAGTGAAAATAGTGTTGCTTGTCACACCGTTTTGCATTCTTAGTCTCGCCTTCCTCCTCCTCCTCCTCCTCCTCCTCCTCCTCCTCCTCCTCCTCTTGTTCCTGGTTGCCCTACTCCGTTTCTCCTCCCGAGCCGAGGCTGAAAGCTCAGGGCAGCGGGTCTTGGACAGGAGGAGAATGGAAACCGTCGCGGCCAGACCCGAAGGTTTCGGCGAGGTTTGGCTTGTTCTGTTTTGTTGCTCGCCTTTCCAGGGGGTGTGCTGTTTTCCCTCCCTCTTTTTTTTCTCGTCGTCGTCGTCGTCGTCGTCGTCGTCCTCCTCCTCCTCCTCCTCCTCCTCCTCCTCCTCCTCCTCCTCATGCCTCAAGGAG